CCCCCCTCTAAAATCAATTCTCTCCTGGAGAACGTCTTCGTGAGCCTCTCATGATTTCAGGATAAACCCTCCTGAACATTTAGAAAGAGTGAATATGAAATTCTAATCACGAAAGGTGTTCCCCGAGGGGATACATACCTAGAGTTTGTTTTGTGAAGCACGTCAATTCTCTCCTGGGGAGCGTCTTCGTGAGCCTCTTATGGTTTCAGGATAGTTCAAATCCTATGATGTTCCGATTCAATGCTCACCGATGATCTGAGCCATGGGGCAAGTTTGTTTTCCTAAGAACCTTTTTGAACATTTCGAGAGCATATGTTTGAACATTTAGAGTGCATATGAACATATATTTACGAAAGGTCGCCTCCGAGGGGATAAATCACCATGTCGAACATTGCATTTTTGTTCCTGCCTCTCGCGTTCTCTTCTCTTCCCGCTGTCCTACCTTTCGTGTCTCCCTCCTCTCAAGTTTTCTATGGTGAACCCATCATGGGCATTATATAGGTCTGCTGTTTTTTTTGCATTCTTTACTGCTCAATGTTCAGAATCCACCTTCCCCATTTTATAGTTTGGATGCTTTTTACTCAGTTAGGCATTGTATAGAAAATCCACCCTCCCTAGACATTTTATAGGGCCCAAAGTGTATAAGATGCCCCCTAAAAGCATCCAACCTAACAATGAAGGGGGATAAGACACCTTAAAAGTTTAAAAACTCATTATGTCATTGAAACTAGCCCCCCCCCGATGCCGGGTACCCCTTGAAAGGCTACAAGGACAAGCAGTAGTTCCCAAATAGACTTGTCAGGCCTCATGAGACAATCCTTGGTTGAAGGGCCCCCTATGGTCACACCCGGTGACCCGTGTATGTTTTCATTTTTTCATTTTTTTCCGTGTAGGATCGTGTAGGCTTCAGGTGCCAGATAGGTGCTGGATGGTTTCTATGGAGCTTGACCAGTTGAGCAAAGCGCACGTTCCATACCTTTTGAGTGAGCTGCTGTTTGGAAGGGAGTTGGCAACGCCACAGAGAAAGTGAGAGGAAGCCGCGCAACAAAAACCTCGACCTGGCCGTTTTGTGATGTTTTTTGTTTGACGCATTCTATGTTCACAGTGGTGCTGCATTTTGATTCCAGAACCTTCTGAGACGTGGTATTCTGTTTTGTGCTTCCAGCTTCCAACAGGAAAAAGTGCGAGAGTCCTCCTCAGGCCCGGCGGTCCTCCTCAGTGTCCTCTACCACGCGCTCGCGCAAGGACGGCTGACGTGTCAGGGTTTCTATCGACTCATCCGTCGATCGTAGCCGGATCGGAGCGTCCCCCAATGTCTCCCACGGCTTCTCAGATCAGGAGACTGAAACGATGTTGAACTTGGTCCACAGCAAGGGGTGAGAGAACCGCACTATGATGGCCCACCTTTTCAACGGGTTTAACAAGTGCCGTATATAGATAGAGAGAGAGTGAGAAGTAAGAGAGAGAGAGATAGCCTTTCTGAAACCTTGGATTTTTTTCCTCATCCATGTTCTTTCTTCGGGAGAATGTGCTGGGTTATTCTACAGAAGAACGGTGTCTTGCAAACTTGAAAGAAACGACCAAATGTGCAAGAATTCGCCGCCAGATGAGCCGCCAGCTTTCAACCGGCTTCGCGCGTGGCTTTGGCAACACTGCGGAAGTGGCGGCAGGGGAGAACGGAAAGAAGCTCAGCGGCATTGGTTGACACAAGTTGCGCAACCAGCCTCCTGCAAACCATTCAATTACTTCATTAATGTTTTAGATGTTTTAGGATTTCTTGAGGTGCCTGGGGGCAATTGCAGGGACAGGCATCCATTGGTAATTAGAGAGTTCAATCGATAGTGTGATAACGCGTATGTATGCGTACATAGATATTAAAACACATACAAAAAAAAATATATATATATTATCTATAAATTAATTCGTAGGGCGGTCAGACATGTACCCTATTCGGGTAACTTCACTTACCCCCCTCAGACGCTTGGATATTCATTTGCCAACCTCTCGGTTGCAGGTTGCCGTTGGACCTGTGCCCAAGTCCGGTCCTGCTGCAGCCTGAGTTCTGAGACACCTGCAATGACAATCAGATGAGGGTCTTTTGCTTCAGTCCACGCTCACCTGTCCAGAGCCGCCGGCCCCTCTTTTATGGAAACAACTGCCCCAGGACGCGGGCGCAAGCCGATCTTTTGTACATACAAGTCATGAAGCAACAAGAGGCGGCACCGGATCATTGGCCAGTCCGATTCTGGGATGTTTGGATGGTCGACGTGTTTTTTTAACGGTGAAGGGACAGAGCAGGTGCTGGCGGACGGATCGGTCGAAGAGGTGTGGCAACGCCTTTCTGACCCGAAAGAGGACAAGAACTGGATAGAACTATATGAATTAGGGAGGTTCAACGGGTATCTGGAGAGTAATTAAGAAGATCTAGGATACATCTTGTTAGTGGATGGGCCTATAACCGCTTGGAGCTGTTGGATTGCTTTCTTTTCCCGGTGGCAATTGACTGGGAATTTGTCAGGAATCTGTTAGGTCTCGGAGTTGGGTCCAACATCGATATCCCTCGGCGTCTGGTGTTGAGAAAGGACACTTGTGTAGCGATGGTCCTTTCTCAAGGCTGGCCCCACTGGCTGCAAGAAGTGGACACAGTCGGATGTTTTGCATCGCTATGAATGGCGAACCATTCCCACAAAAACGAACCATTGGTGTGGCAGATGTAAGTGTTCCATCGAACGCTCATGTGTGTTGACAGTTCTCGGACTCGTCAGGTGCACATGACACAGGAGAGCTTCATGAGGCCATTCTCCCTGGGCTCCGGAGCAGTGAAGCGAAGGGGGTGGGGGGGTTTGACATTAGGCAAGTTCCATGGAGACGAGGAGTCTTTGGAGGTGCCAGTGGGGTGGAGGCACTCTTTGGATTGGTTCGGTTTTCATATTTTTCAAGGGTTGACTCAGACAACCACTCCTCCACACAAAACATCACACTGAGAGGCGCAGCAGGGAGCATATTCAACCCGACCCCGCCCGCCCTCACCCGCCTGCCAATCCATGCAGCAGCCAGGGCCTTGGCGATTGTTGGGCAGCAGTGCCTAGCAGGCCAGAATGGTTATTTGTGTTTTTACGCATTGGATAGGTTCGATCTGATTTGCAGTTGTTTTGCTTAATTTCTCGCCTTCGGAAGTGCAAAAAAAAACCGTCTTTAATCCAGCTACGACCCAACCCCCAAATCGTTTGTTTGAGTCATGCCACATCAGGGATGATTTGCATGCTTCGCCGTGCAACAAAACAAAGTCTTGAGACGGCACAAAGGAGAGCGTAGCACAGCATAGCCACCAAGGAGAGCGGACTGTTGTTTGTTATTAATAAGGAACTAGGCCTCTAGCATATATAGGCACTTGCGGTTTGATCTACCGCAGCTGGATGTAGCAGAGCCATACAATAAGATTAATTGCCATTGCAATTTCTATTTGTGTCTTTTTCACATGGGGCTTCATTGACCTACCTGGCAATGATGTTTTTTGGGACAATAAGAGTTCTGGCAAGGTATAGCAAGACCAATCCATTGTAACTTGGGTCGGCTTGATATCCACTTGCATGGGTTTCCTCCTTCTCCCCAATCTGGAACACAAAACATGGCGATTCGCTGAGCTGCCCTGGATCCGTGAGGCATGGATCCTGCAGAAGCGCCTGAACTCCATGATAGCCAGGCCAGTCTTCTCAACTGGCTGGGGCCCAAGGGACAGATCCATTGGAAGATGCCGTACAGAGTGGCTGAGATCCGAAGTGGCCGTTCATGAGGCAGTTCCGGGGGATTTCATCATTTCTTGACAAGTTTTTAACATTCCTTGAGACAGTTAAGAGGAAACAAATACATCTTGAAGCTTTACACATTGATGTTGACCTTGTGGTGACCCTACATGAGAGCCCGGCTGTGACTAAGGTTTTGCGAGTGGGCTTTGGTGCCCCTTGCAGACGCCCTGGGGATCAGTCAGCATGATGTGCTGCCTGGAGCCACAGGAACCAGTGAAGTTGGTCGACCTTGGCATTGGACATGGAAGTCATGTGATGTAAAAGATTCCCCCGTCATGACAGTAGGAGATGCTTCTTCCAGGGTGCATACAGTTCGTGTTCTTTTGCCTCCCGGTCGTCATCCCCGGTTTCGAGCACTTGTCACCCCGACTCACACTCGGCACGTTTGTGTTTTGTTCTTCACTTGGTCACATGGCCTCCTCCCGGATTGGATGCAGTATGAAGATGCCGATATATGAGTTGAACATAGTTGAACCTATTCGACCTATTCACGCAGCTGATGTGTAGGTCCAAAAAGGATCAAAAAGGTGCAGTGGAATAGCATTTGAACATATTTGAACTACAGACGCCGGAGATAAGTCTCAAGGCAAAAGGTTGGGTGTGAAGTATTTAATCACCATCAAGTTAGAGGCTTTGACCAAACCAAACAACAGTTGATCGATCCAACTAGAGGCCAGTAAGACCTTGTTTCTTTTTCAGCCTTGGGACTTTCTTGGTGACCCTTTGCCGGAGCAATTTATGGAGGGTATATAATAAAAATCATTTACATGTTTATGAGGCTCTTGGATATGTTGGTATATGGTGCGGTCGAAGTGGACAGTGATAGATGACGAGACTCCTATAGCCTATAGCTCCGAAAAGCAGCTACGTACTTCTTCAACTCTATGAGACAGATCGACCTGTACATGGTTTTCATGGCTTTTTTTGGCCAAACGCTCATATAGGGTCATTTGCTGATTGGTGGGGTATCATGCACCGAATTCTCGTTGGTGGAGGCATTTCCCATTTGTTTGTCATGAATTCCATGGCCGGTTGAAGCAGCTGAAATAGTGTCCGGTTGCCAGAATTCGTGCTTCGCTAGTTTCCAGTCGCAGCTGAGGTGTGCGGCTGAGATTTTACGTGACCCGGCCGTCTCGGTATGGCAGCCCAGCAGCCTGAAGGACCCGCATGAATTCACCTGCTTTGCTGAGAAGATAGTTTAACATTGTTTAACCTCAACACCTTCGCAGTTTGGGTGATTTGTGGAAGATTGTTTCACACTTAGGTGGATATCCCATAACACAGCCGTGTTTGAGATTTGGCCATCTTCATTCATCCGACCATCGACCTGTCTCTTGAGGCACTGCTTCGAAGCTGCCAGCGGGGGTTGGATATCGTGTTCGCCCGCCGTGCTCCCCAGACCTTCGGGTCGGGTCGGCACCACACCCGTCGAAGGCAACGGGTCGTGTGGGCGGGCCACTCGGGATCAGAGAACAGCCACAGTTTTATTTCCACTCGCTTGGTTCCCAAGTGTTCTAATCCCAAGTGTTGCTAGAAGCTGATTTACTCTTCTTTTTTTTTCCAAAGTGTTCTTGGATCTTCGAGGATGTTGCACCAGTGGCAACCCATGGAAAGTGAACCAGGACGCGCGAAGCGTGGCTGGGCCCAGCTGAGCCATGGCAGTTCAGGATTCGGCTTTGGACCTGCAAAGCGATGGCGACAAGCAAACCTGCAGGTTCATGGCACCGACCGGACCCTTCACCCATCAGTGTGCACACTCTCTCGCACCAGGAGAAAACCGAGTGGAAGGAAGCCTCCTGCGGTGGAACATCGGTGTTTTTCAGAGAGAGAGGCCGAAAGAGAGCACGTCTAGGTGCCTTGGAGAGTAGTATGTTCCACTCCTCCTCAGTTCTTTTAAAGCTTTAGTTTGATGTATATTGAGGGAGGGCATTCCATTGCTCCGCTTCATCGACCGTCCTAGATACTCTGCACTGAGGCTACGCCGCCGCGAGCCCGGCACCGCGAGAGCCGTACAGGAGACCCGGTGCGCGTTCGTTCGGGACTTCCGGGACTCCGGAGCCCTTTGGGGACAATGAGAAGACACGAGAAGACTAAGATCCAGTGGAAACAGCGGGCTCTCAAGAGTTCAGGGTGTTTTGGGGGGTTCCCCTTATTCTGATGCAGGCCAATGTGGTTGCACCAATTCCGAAAATGGACCACTGCCCAATAAAGAGGGATCACAGGGGCTTTGGGTCCATGACTTTGATGCTTTGGCAGGACAAGTGAAAAACGTGCTCGAAGGAATTAATGGGAACCCTTGACCGAGAAACACCTGTGTGGAACGAATTAATATGATGTGGAGAAGAAAAGAAGCAGAAGAAGAAGAAGAAGAGGCATCCTTTGCTTCACAAGATCCAATTAAACGCAGAAGAACCCCTCTAGGAAGCCTCGGGCCTTAGACGAATAGCTGCGAATATGTAATTTTCCAAACCACCTGTGTGGAGGTACCTAATTAACATCCTAAATCATCCTATGTTTTGTGGTTCCTTCAGCATTTTGCTCAACCAGTGCTTCACTCCCTCGCTCGGCTCGTGCCGAAAGACGCTTCGCTACACATGGCGCCCCTCGTGATCCTCGTGCTGCTGATGAGCACCTTCCGTGCCGAGAGTAGCAGCAACTCATTCCAAAGATCGCCATTAACTTTGTTTCTTTTGACGATCCCCCTTCATGGATTTCCACTCATCTACCCAACTCTAATGGTATGCGGCCGCGCTATGCTTTGAAGGGGTCGAATACCGGTTTCCAGCTGGCCGTGGGGGCATCGATCTACGTTTTCACCCGGTCAACGAGGCAAGCGTGGGATTGCCAAGACGAACCTGCACGATCATCAGCTGAGGCAGTTGAAGCAAGGAATCTTGGCTGAACGATCGAGGCACATCAGGGCGCTCCAATACGCATCGCTCTAAAAAGGAGGGCTGCGGAATATGCTGATGACCAACATTGACCAACGATTCAACCAAGGAGATGTACCATATTGCTGTTTTAATCCAATGTGGATTGGGATGTTCATTTGCATTATATAAGATTCCATATAGAAACTTCAAAACTTTGAAGTGCCCTTTCAATATCCTGATTTGACGTCGCCACTCAGGCGTGCCACAGGTCAAGTTCAAAACGGTCACTTTGACAAAACTGGTAGGATGAGCACTGAGTCACTTTGTGTTTTGACTCTTTGTCACCAGTCACATGTGTTTTGGTTGGAAGTTGGTTCGACGCACCGTTGATGTCTATAAGAGTCCGGTCGCTGATGCCAACGGTGCGTCCGCGCCGAGAATAGGGCTGCAGGGTTCGACCATATTGTTTGTCAACAGGATTTTTCGAAGTTATGCGGCTGGCTGTTTTTGTGACGATCCTAGGAGTGACCTGGGGCTACAACTGGAAGTTTTCGCCGAACATGCCCTGGCAGGAAGCAGGCATGGAGTTCGTGCCCATGGTTGCTTAGTGATGGAAGTTAAGTATACTGGATGGCTGGGTGGGGCCGGTGACTTCTGGATGTTTACAATTTTTGTAAATTCTGGATTTTAGATGATGATAGGACAGTTGCAACAAGTTATGTAAATCTAATTGGATATACCCAAGACTGTACTGAAATGAGGATCCTTTTCCCTTATGAAACGCAAATTCCAAGAGATACTTCAGAAACTCAAGGGCCTCTGTCTCTATTTTGGATGATCACTCTTGATAACTACATAAGATAACGAGAATCAGTTTACCCTGATCATTTTACAAATACTGGTATCAGTAACTTGGACCGTGGATGACCGTGTTAGATGGGTGAAGGTGGTAAGCCCACCATCCTTTTTTTAAATAAGAATTGACTTGGCCAGGTTTTGGATCTTGAGATCTTGAAATCAAGTATTTTTTTAAAAAATATAACGTCTACATAATTGGCATCATAGAGACCTTCCCGATCGACGATTCTCATTTCATGAACTTTGTTTTCTGGATGATGTTTCCTATCTTGACTTGTCATGATCTATTCAGGTCATTTTATAAACTATATAGTTGTTTTTCATTGTGTAATCGAACATACCTATCCCTGGCATTCTATAAACACCAATGTTTTATATATATATAATGATATAAAATGCAGAAACGACGGGCCTTTGAACAATCAAGAAGGACCCATACATACAATTTTGCATATGCCCACTGACCTTGCATGCCTTGGGGCGCGCATCCCACGTGTTTCGGACGAATCACCGATGTTCTGACCGTCCGGTCTTGAGGTTCATGACGCCTCGATTAACCGGGCTGCAGCTTCTTGGTGAGAGTGGATCCGCGATCAACGGGGTGAAATGGTGACTGAAACCTACTAGCGATGGCCTTCCACCCTAGTAGCGATGGCCTATTCAGTTCGTGGATGATGTTGACTTCCATTTTGTTTGGAGTGGTTCTTCATCGAACATCTACCGCCACACCAAAAGCCTCCTTCCAAATATGCCTGTTAGGAGGTCGACCGGTTTCCGCCCAGCCTGTCGAGCCCAGGTGCCGAGCGGCTCCTTCAGAGGCTTGTTGGGCTTCAACGAGCCAGATATCAGCTCACAGGCCAACATGGATCCTTACCATGCGGCGGCCACTTGGCAGGAATTCGGAAACGCCTCAAGTGACGGGGTGATGGGTGATTTTGGACACTGAGACTTGTGAATTCTGTGGCGTTTGTTCACGAAGTGCTTTCTGGGATAACTACTGGGGTGCCGGGGGCCTCACATTGCCATGGGAGAGCCAATTGGATGATGAGGTATGAAACACCCAGAACCATCTCAAGAGTTGCACACTTTGACCTAATGAAGTCTCGCACTCCTCCCAGACCATGTTTCACGACTTCACACTTTTTCAGCATCAGATGGGGGTGCGTGGCCGGCTCTCATTCGGCTCTCAGGGGATGTGGACAAATGTGGAGCAGCTGGCATCCCAGCTCGGAGTACAACAGCTCGTGAGTCCAGCGATGTGTGGAGACATCGGCAAGGGCACGCAATGGATGGGATCTTTCTTGAACGCAACTGGGCGAAATGTGTTCTTCGATAGAAGTGCATACTGCGACGTCAGATATGATCTCCAGCTGGAGAGAAGCAATATGCATCAGGCCAAGCCCGAGAGTCAGGTCTCTTAAGGGCAACTTCCTGTGCTTCACTGAAGCAAAGACTAGACTTCACTACGCTCAGTTAGATGTTTCATTCATGAAGTGATCAGATCACCACCATGGCCCCACAGTGGTCTACATGTGGCCATGCTGATGGACCCCTGTGACTAGAGAGGGGCAGAATAGTGAATTTTGTGGATGATATGGTTTAGGAAATACAGGTGTTTGACTTGCAAATGCACACACACCCACACACATGCTACATAACATTTATATGCATGAGGCGTTCCTTTGTGAGTGTGCTTCCAAACCTGAGAGCCCGTTACTAACATCCTCACATCCACCGGCGTCGGGACCCATGAGACAACACGGTTGGGACCCGCCGAGGCGTGCCACAACTGCCGCATCGATGCCATTGCCATTCACAGCTACTGGTGCACGCTGGATGGGGTGAAGAATCTGGTGGACAGCTACCGCCGATTCGGCAAGAAGACTCTGGGCTGTGGGATGGCGTGGGAAGCATAGGCACAGAACTTTGGGACGTACTGTTTGGGTGGGTGACCATGCTGAGGACAATTATGTGTGCCTATTAATATTGCAATGAGTTCTGCCTCTGCGTGAGTAGAGCTACGAGTATATGTCCCCCTCTACTCTTCGAAGCTTTGGCTGAAAGGCAACTGTGTTACCCCCCTGCCACCCCAATGTGGGTGGCAGGGGGAGTCGATCGCGAACGATGGTATGGCCACCGGTTTAAGCCCGGCCAGGTGGTCGAATGTGCCATAAGAGATGGCGAAGGGCACGCGCAGGGCACCATCATCCTTGAGATCGTGGCTGCCCTTTCGACGGACGATCAAGGCCACTGGGTCACCGCCAAATACCTTGGCGCGAGCGACACCCATATGCGATGGTGGATGTCCGAGGGCGAAGGAAAGAAGCTGGCGGCTAAGTGTGCATACCACTTCTGCGAGGAGTCGTCCCATGACTGCAAGGTCACCCGTCGTGGAGCTTCCATCCATGTGGAAAAGTTCCGTGTGCTCACCCAAAAGGAGATCAACAACCGAGTCCCAGCCTGGGCCTTCGAGAAGACAGGGTCGAAGACCTTCATGGAGTTCCTGAAAAAGAAGGGCATGGAACCAAAGGAGAAGGACCCAAAGGCAGCGTTACCCTGGGTTGACCCAGGTGAGGAGGATTCTGAAGAAGAAGAAGAAGAGGGATTCTCTGGTGAAGCTCCGGTCAAAGAGGGTCTCAAGGCCAAACTGGTGAAAGCCCGCGATGAAGTCAAGAGACTGGAGCGCGAGTTGTCCGGCAAGAAGGAGGTCACCAAGGGGACCAGCTCAAAAGAAAAGAAGGAGAAGGCGAAGAGAAAGAAGAAACTGGATCCCGAGGTCAAGGCCAAGAAGAAGCGGCCTAAGGAGAAAGGTTCACCCTCATCAGGAGGTGGAAGAAAGAAGCGTAAGGAGGCAGAGGCTGATGCTGAGAAGGCCAAGGAGGCACGCGTGGCTAAGAAGAAGAAGAAGGCAGTTGAGGAATCTTCCTCTTACAGTGGTGATGAAGAAGAAGGCCTCTTTGGTGAAGGAGTGGAAGAGAAGGGCACCGCTGTGAGCAAGAAAGGCCGGCGAGACCGTGGACCCTTTGGCGGGGGTGACATCGTCAGGTACCACGGTGAATCTTCCAGCGAGTCAGAGGCAGTTTTTCGCGATGCCCCCGCAGTCCCAAAAGCATCAAACCAACTCAAGTTGATGCAGTACGCCAAGAGAACACCGGGCAGACTGGCTTCAAGGTTGCTCTTGAAGATGCAAGTCGAAGGAGCCCAAGGGGCTGTGGGGGCGAACCCAGCCGACCGAGGAGAGCTGACCCCGCCATCAGCAGTGCACTACTTCCACACCATGATCG